CCCCCCCCCCCCCCCCCCCCCGTCTCTCTCTGATCAAATTAAAATAAAATGAATAAATAAATTTAAAAAAATAAATAAATAAAAATAAAAACTAACATTTATTTAGCTCTTACAGTTTACCAAATGCTATGCTAAATGCTTTATATTCATCTTCTCATTTAATTCTCCTCACTGGTAAAAGGTGGACACTGTCATTTCTATTTTTTTTGTCTGTTTGTTCTTTTTAGATTTTTTTTGGGGGGTCATAGATGTGTGCACTTGCCGGAGACAGAGAAAGAGAAAATAAAAAATCATTCCCCTAGGGGAATGGCCATTTAATGCAATCTCTTCTCCATTCTCCTCTCAGGATTTTGGGCATGCAATGCACATGTGCCTGGCATGAGTTTCAAGCCACCAGATCCTGGACTCGAACCATGGTTGGAAATGTGGGAGTCCAGTGCCTTAACTACCATGCCACCTGCTGGTCCCCTGTCATTACTATTTTATGTAGAAATTGAGGCTTAAAAGCAAAGGCATACAGTGAAGAAATGGGGAAAACTGGGAGACAGAAATGTATCTGACACCAAAGTTAGGGCTTTTGACTCTTAAGTTAAAGAAAATACTGTTTTTGTTCACAAGGATCTTATAATATGGGCAACCCATCAATTACTGGCCCATCAATTGATAATGGGTATTTAAGCTCTAAAACAAAATTGAAAAACTGGTTTAATAAAGTTAAACTTTCTCACTGTAGAAAAATTCAGAATCTTAATGTGCTAAGATGGAATATAGTATTCTATACTAACCATAATCTGGCCAGACTACCTACTTCCACATCTGGGTATTATAACTTGCCTTGGAAAAGAAATTTAACTTCATTAAGCTTTAATTTCCTTATCTATAAATGGTAACAATAATAGAACCTATCTCACGGGGTTACTGTGAGTCCTAAGGGAAAAATGTAAGTTAATTAAGACAGAGCCCTAGCACATCACTAACATTCATTGAACATTTATCATCATCATCACCATTATTATTCACATCTTGTAATTTGGAAAACACTGGGGTAGCAGATTTCCAGGTCTTTGCCATACCTCTCTGTGGTAAACTTTTCTTACTTGACCACAATTACTCACTTCCTCCTCATTCCGCTTATGTTTTCCTTCAGACAGAGTAAACTCCTCTGCCTCATTGACTTTGGGCTTGGGCACTTGACTTGCTTTGTAGACATGATGTATGCCATCTCTAAACAAAATTTTAAATGTGCTTTCAGAAATGACTAGAAGTGAGTGTGTGTATCTCAAGTGTTTTCAGATACTAGATAATAAGCATTGCAAAACTGATTTCTGAGAAAAGGGAAAGAAATGAGATAAGTCCTACAATAGCTCCAGCTTTCTGACTACAGGCAGATGGAAACCACAGCTCAGGAGGGGAGCACGCCATTGGAATGAGACGGAGGCTCCAGCAGAGTGAGACTAAGGCAGTAAGAATTCCTCGGGTAGAATACTGGAGAAGAGGAAGCTGTCAGAGAGAGATTGAAAACTGAATGCTAAGCCATGTGTAGGGTGAACTCCACAAGGCTGGGCCAAAAATAATGGGGGAGCTGTAAGCTGAAAAGTTCTCAGAATTAACAAATGCTGGACGTCATTCAAAATCTAATTCCTTAGTGAGGAGAAGCCTCTCTGAACAGTGACAGCATTCAGTAGAAGCCCAACAAGGGTTACATCTTAGCTGTAGGGCTAGCCCTAGGGTAATGTCTGTTCTATATCTACCCTAATAAACCTTAAAAGCGAGCCATATAATGCTCAAGCTAATCTATAAACATCTACAAGAACAAAATGCAATACACTGTAAAGAAAAACAAAGCAATCAAGCTCTTAACGACATTACATGCACAATGTCTAGCATCCAACCTAAATTATTTTAGTAGAATAACATTTGGTCTCATTTATAAAGTTAGTTAAGTATTTTGAGATTTTTTATTTACTTTAGAGATTTCACTTATCTCACAGAAGTTTCCAAGTGCTTAAAGAAATCTTTATAAATCTAATAAATTAAGTGTATAAATAGGGTGAGTCAAGTTTTTATAAATATTCATACACAAATCTGGTAAGATTCATATTTAACAATCACAATAATAAATCAATTACTTAATTATAGAATTTGAAATGGAATTAGAAGACTGGCATGTTACTCTAATGGACCAAGCTACAAGTATATAAAATAAATATGTATTGCCTCTTTAACATGAAACTACTAATTCCATGAGTTTGATTCTCAAATATTTTTATACTCACATATAAATCCTCCTAGTGCTAAAAGCTGCATACCCCTTGTTGAAAGTTATATCACCCCAAGGTATTTTTGGTGACATTTTAGCTGATGAAAGTTTTATTATTCAAAGATTTCAGCCAGGATATTCTTGGACTCTTCTCAATGAGTCTAATATTTCATTTGTATTGTTAGGTCTTCATAACTTAAGACAGAGTTGATTCCACAGTTCTTGTTGCCTACAGTCTTAGACTTACATTAAATGTTACTTAATTTTTCCACAATTTCACAGAATTCTGCACTGCTTATCCCAACTGTTAACTTTGTCTGAATTTTGTATTTCCTTGGCTTCTGAAGATATTTAAAGATCTTCTCACCTATGACTAAAGATGTTTGAGCTAGATAAAAACCCAAATAGTGACAGCAATTAATGTATCTAAACAAGGGACTGGCAGGTGGTGTGGTAGTTAACAGCGCTGGACTCCAACAGGCTGACTGTGGTTAGAGTCCTGGACCAGGAGGCTTGCTTTCTCACTTTCCCTCTCACTCTTGCTCTTGCTCTGTCCCTCTCTGGTCAAATTAAAAATAAATAAAAAACTAAATTATTCTTTTTTAAAAATCTAAACAAATTTTATTCCTATAGCTTTGTCTAGATTGGCCATCACATTTTCATAATAATTATACTAATAAAATTCATTTTGTATTTTCTTCCATTTAAAGGAATACGACTAATGGCTACATTTATTGTCATTTTCTCCATAATATTTTAAAAGACTTTTTAAAAAGAATTTTTTTAGAGGTTTTTGCTATAGGGCACGTGCACTCACCAGAAAGACAGAGAGAGACAGAGACAGAAAGCGAGAAATCACCCCCTAGGGGGGATGGCCATGCTGCAATCCCTTCTCCTTCGTTCTTCTCTCGGGATCTTAGACATGCACACACATGCACCTGGTGTGAGTTTAAGCAACTGGGTCTGGGACTCGAACCGCAGTCGACTACATGGAAGTCCAGCGACATAGCCATTATGCCAAATGCTGGTCCCAATTTTTTTTAAAAAAATGTATTTACTGAATAGTCCTAGTACTCCTTGTAAACCATTAGATAAGGATAAATAACATCCTAAGTAGGAAACATTCTTGTCTTCTAAAACAACAAAGGCTGCCAACAATCTCTTCATAGGACCAAATAGAAAACTAAAAGCGCTGAAATCCCCTAACCACAAGTGAAAAGACAGATTCTGCTAGATCAGATCATGGCAGTAGTTCATTTTCAGATCAAGAAAGGAGTCTCGTGGCGGCTTTTAAAAAGTTATCTTCAACGTTATATCTCTGGAAGGACATCTGAAGTTGAAAAAAACCACCACCCCAACCCCAGAATCATTGCCTTGAATTTTCCAAGAGGAAGAACAATTTCTCAGGAAAGAAACTAGAAATGAGTGGGCAGTTCCGCAAAAAGTTAGGCAGAGTTTACCCTGACCCAATGTCCTACTTCTAGTTGTAATCCCAGAGAAATGAAAGCATACTTTCACATAAAACCTTGTCTGTGACTGTTCACAGCAGTGTTATTCATAAAAGCCAAAATATGGAAGCAATCTAAATGTCCTTATAACAGTGAATGGATAAACAAATGTCCATACAATGGAACTTTATTCAGCCACATTATTAACTATACAGATACTTTCAGTACTTAATATGATTCAGTACTCATCCATGCTAACACAGAAGAGCCTTGAAAACATTATGCTAAGTGAAAAAAAATCCAGACACAAAAGGTCACATATTATATGATTTTGTTTAAGTGAAATGTCCAGAACAGGTAAAACCAAAGAGATACAAAGTAGGTTACTGGTTGTCAGGGGCTGGGGAAGGGACAGAATGAGGAGTGACTGGAATTGGATCGTGGTGATGGTTGTACATCTGACAGACTGAAAATTTCCAAATTGTATACTTTACAGGTACACTTTTTAAAGGTGAATTGCATAGCCTGTGAACCATATAAAAATTTTAAACATTCTACCAATAGGGGAAAAAAATGTCAAACTCAAAAATGTCACTGTTATTAAAGACAGAGAACATACATATGTATACAGAGAAAAAGAGAGGACAAAAAATAAACCAAATGGGGTAAAATGTTAATGTTAGGTGATTCTACATAAAGGGTGTGAATAAATCTTAATCCCCAGAACCTATGAATGTTATGTTATATGACCAAAAGGTCTTTGCAGATGTGATTAAGTCAAAGGTTCTGAGATGGGAATATTGTCTTGGATTATTTAGGTAAGCCCTGAAGGTAATCGTAGGTAACAGTCTTTATAAGGGGAAAGCGGGAGGAGATCTGGCTACAGAAGAGGAGAGAGAGGGCAAT